TGGTCACTGCATTCCAGTCTGGGTGACAGAGTGAGACTCCAACTCAAAAAAAAAAAAAAAAAAGAACCTGCAATGCATGTTGGTGACTGTTTCATGCTGTTACCACATAATGAGAAAAATATAAGAGGTGTAATCCCAGCACTTTGAGAGGCCAAGGTTAGAGAACTGCCTGAGCCCAGGGTTTCGAGATCAGATTGGGCAACTTGGTAAGACCTCGTCTCTACAATAAATCACATACGCACAAAAAAATAACCAGGCGTGGTGGCGTGTGCCTGTAGTTCCAGTTACTTGGAAGGCTGAGGCAGAAGGAATGCCTGAGCCCAGCAGGTCGAGGCTGCAGTTGCCGTGAGTGTGCCACTGCACTTCAGCCTGGTCGACAAAGAGTGAGACTCCAACTCAAAAAAGAAGAAAAATATATGATATACACTTTTTACTTTTTTTGCCATAAATAAGTTCCTCGATGTCCAAAATTCCATTATAAGTCAAATATCATCACAATAAAATAATTGGTTCCAGTGCTATACTAATTAATATGAAGTGATTTGTTTTTTACTATTTCATAAAAAAGTGCGGTCAAGAGGCTGGTAAGTGATCCGCAAGATATCTCCATGTGCAAAGGGCTAAAAGTAAAAGAATAAAAAAAGATATACATAAAACAAAGTAAAGCTGGAGCAATTATATTACTATTAGACAAAACTGACGGCAGAAGGACTATCACCAGGGATAAAAAGTGATATCACATAAAATCACCAAGACATAATAATCCTACATGTATATGCCTGTAATTTTAGAAACTCCTAAATACAAGAAGCAAAAATTGGGCTGGGCGTGGTGGCTCAACCTGTAATGCCAGCACTTTGGGAGGTGCAGGCGAGAGGACTGCCTGAGCCCAAGAGTTCGAGACCTCCCTGGGAACTTGGTGAGACCTCGTCTCTACAATAAATAAAAAAATTACCCAGGCATGGTGGCATATGCCTACAGTTCCGGCTACTTGGAGGGCTGAGGGGGAAGGATCACCTGAGCTCAGCAGGTCGAGGCTGCGGTGGCCGTGAGTGTGCCATTGCATTCCAGCCTGGGCGACAGAGTGAGACTCCAACTCAAAAAAAATAGAGTTGAATAGTAATGAAAATCAATATGTAAAAATGGGAGTTGGGATTGGCAGTTGAGGGAAACTGCCAGGGAAGGGAGGGGCACACCTCATCAACAAGGGTACCTGCATAATGAACATTTGTAAACCTAATCCTGAATTGTACCTCACATCTTTAAAATAAAGAAAAAAAAATATATATATATATATATATAAATTTGAGCGATGTAGCTAAAGCAGTATTTAGAGGAACAGTTATAGCATTAAGCTGTTTATATTAGAAAATAAGGAAATTTTCCATTAATGGCTTCATCTTCCACCTTATAAAATCAGAAAGAACAAAAAGAGTAAAATTAAACCCAAAGTTAGTATATAAAAGGACATACAAAGGTAAGAGCAGAGCCAGGCATGGTGGTTCATGCCTGTAATTCCAGCACTTTGGAAGGCAGAGGCGAGAGGATTACCTGAACCCAGAGGTTTGAGACCAGCCTGGGCAACTTGGTGAGACCTTGTTTCTACAATAAATCAAAAAATTAGCCTGGTGTGGTGGCATGCGCTTGTAGTTCCAGCTATTCAGGAGGCTGAGGCGAAAGGATTACCTGAGCCCAGCAGGTCAAGGCTGGAGTGGCCGTGAGCGTGTGAGTGCACTCCAGCCTGGGGGATGGAGTGAGACTCCAACTCAAAAATAAAAAAAGACACAAAGACACAAAGTAACCAATATCTAGAATGATCTAGGAGTCATTACAGATGCCAGACATTAAATTAAAAAGTTACTCTTTTACAATAGAAAGATAGGGCCAGGCTCAGTGGCTCAGCCTGTAATCCCAGCACTTTGGGAGGCCAAAGCAAGTGGATTGCCCAAGCCGGCGGGAACCCGCCCAGGCAACTTGGCGAGACCTCGTCTCTACAATAAATCAAAAACTAGTTGGGCATAGTAGTGCACGCCTGTATTTCCAGCTACTTGGAAGGTTGAGGCGGAAGGATTGTTGGAGCCCAGCAAGTTGAGGCTGCAGTGGCCGGGAGCGTGCCACTGCCCTCCAGTCTGGGCAACAGAGTGAGACACCAACTCAAAAAAAAGAACAACAAAAAAACAATAGAAAGATAGTCATAAGCCAAATTAGCCAAGGAAAAAAGGGAGAGAAATCCCAAATACACAAAATAAGCGGGAATTACCAACAATAGAAGGGGGAAATCATAGAAAGAAGATTTATCTTCAATAGCAGTAAAATACTACACACTAAGAAAAATAAAGCTGGGTACGGTGGCTCTCACCTTTAATCCCAGCACTTTTGGAGGCTGAGGAGAGAAGACTGCCTGAGCCCAAGGGTTCGAGACCTCATCTCTCTATAAACCAAAAAAATTAGCCAGGCATGGTAGTGCACGCCTGTAGTTCCAGCTACTTAGAAGGCTGAAGTGGAAGATCGCTGAACCCAGCAGGTCAAGGCTGCGGTGGCTGTGAGCGTGCCACTGCACTCCAGTCTGGACAACAGAATGACTCTCCAACTCAAAAAAATAAAAAATAAAAAAGGTTTTACGAAGAATATAAGATGCTGATGAGGGTGACAAAAGGGGACTAGAACAAATGGGTAAAGACTAGTGGAAAATCCAACCCCATAAGGGTGTCCATTTATCCTACTATAACGTAACCATTAATTGGATCACATTAAAAGTACCAACAGAACTGACTCTAAAATACAGCCACGTGTCACTTAAGGACTGGGACTCGTTCTGAGAAACACGTTATTAGGCGATTTTGTTGTTGTGAGAACAGAGAACTTACACAACCCTAGAAGGTGCATCCTGCTACACACCTGGTTTGTACGTACAGTCTATTGCTCCTAAGACATAAATTCACCCAGCAGGCTACTGTCCTGAATGCTGTAGGCGACTGTAACACAATGGCAAGTAGTTGTGTATTTAAACACAGGAAGGGTACAGTAAAAATACGGTATTATAATCTCACGGGACCACCATTTTATGAGGTCCTTCGTTTGAATCATGGGAAAACTGCCATGCTCTCAACGTGGCGAAGGCTTTTGGGTGCCACAAACGTTAAGACTAGTACATTCACCCACTGAGAAATTTAAAAGCGTGTGCGCGACAAGAGCTGCCAGCGAGAATAATCGAGGCAAGTGAGAACTGTGTGCTACTCATATAAAGTACCAGGTGGCCGTGAGACCTTGGAGAAATCACTTCCCCTCTCTGAGCCTCCGTTCTTCCCTCGGTAAACGCTGAGACGACGACACCGGAAGACCCGGGGTGGACGTCAGGATCAGGCGAACACTTCACTGAAAGCTGACAAAGCGACCGCAGCCCCCACCCGCGGGGGAC